GGCTGCTGCGGAAGAGGGCCTTGAGCAGCCATCGCGCCAGGAGAGACGCGTGCCTTGGACGCTCCTTGCCTGGGCGAGGAACGGGGGCTCTCTCCAGAGCAAGAAGCTTGATCCTGGAAGCCCACTGGGGTTGGCGGGCAGGGAGGTGGGGAGCGAGAACAGAGCAATGTTGCCAGAACCCCTGAACTCCACGACTCCGAAACTCTCCAGCCTCGCCGCAAACAGGAATGCCAGAACCGCCGAGGAGAACAGCTCCCTCCACCTGGCCCAACGGCGGCCATCCTGACATCAGTGCGACGAGAGCCTGCTGCAATGAGGCCGACCCCAGCCAGGGCAGTAGAGCAACCCACAACGTGCACGAACTACCAGATCGCAATCAGGACAAGGGTGGGCGGGGGGGGGGGACTTAGGGCACGCAGCCACGACAGCATATGTACACGCAAGTGGTATACGCCGATGCATGTATACATGGCTTAAGTGCTGCCTGGACCTACTTTTGACTTACTTTGGACCTACTTTTGACCTACTTTAGACCTACTTGCGAACTGCCGTAACCTACGTTTGACCTACTTGTGATCTACTTTTGACCTACTTGTGACCTACTTGTGACCTACTTTTGCACATGACGGAGTGTGGTCAAGCGACGTGCCGCCATTGGCGCAACGGAAGACAACGTTTAATGAGCATGGGTTTGCTAACCTAGTTGCCAGGTCTGATGGGGCTGGCAGAAGCTCGCTGGACCTATCTCGAAACCAAGGCTTGGTCACTGACCTATCTGCAGAATGGGAGGCCGACCCCCCCGACCTACTTTTTAGCTATATGTATCGAGCACGGAGATAGGAAAAGAAGGTCGAGTGCCCCAGCGCGGGTGCCAAAGTAGGTTCCGAAGTAGGTCGGGGACCACGTCGGGGGTCCAAACTAACTCTTTGGACCTATCGTCGTCGCCACGACCTCATCCACCCTTGCCTTTATCTGCCCACGGCCTCCTCCTCCCCTCTGGCACCCCTCCCGCTCTCCATCCCCCATCGCCTCCCAATTCGCATCCACCCGTCCTCGTCGCCTCTGCTCCCTCTCCCATTTGCGATCTGCAAGCTAGTGATGCTTCACAGTAACTTCTAATGTGTAGTGGTAACAATAGCACAACACAGTGGGGGAATACTGTAAATGTTTGCGGGGGCACGGAATACTTGAGTGACTGCATAGCTAAATTTGCGTTGGACAGAGAGTGTTGGGGGAAAGGCGAGGGTAGTCTACGGTGTGTGGCAATTCGGTAGTGGACACCAAACGTGCTTTTGGCCATAGTTTGCCCATGTCGGGCAGCTTTTTTTGGGGGGGGCTTTTGGGCGTGCATATTCTGTCGCAGAGAGGTCCGAACCCCTTGGGGGACCCCACGTGGGACCTTACAGGAGGTAACACGCACCTGCGCTCCTAAGGGACACTTGGTTAGTAGGCGTTTAAGGTGCCGTATCATTCCAAGGGCGATTGGTTCTACTCGAGAGGAGTGGGAGGAGGACTAAATACAACCCTTGTTTTCTAAAGTGGTTGGCGGTCGCACCCCGCGACCATTCATCTTTGTTCAACCTCGAACGTTCGGCAGGGCCCACGGGGCAAGTACCCCCTGCCACCAGCTCAGCTTATCTCAACGAAGGGCTGCGGCTGGCAATCTTTAAAATTGCGGGCAGCGCAAGTGGCCAGGCAGACTGAAACCCACTCTGCTGCACATGCAGCTTTCGAATGTATTGCGAGCTGATGTTGACGCTGCATGGTCGTCCTCCTCCCATTCCTTCTCCCCCCCCCTCCTTGTTTCAATATGCACCGATGTCGTCATCGAACCCCTTCCCAGCTACCCTCGCAGCCACCCTGCCTCGGTCGCAGCATCGACCATAGCTAGGGCCATCATTGCTCAAACTCCTGCAGCAAATCACTGGGGCGCTCTAGCAGGTCACCAAGGGCCGCGCCTGGATCTTCGACAGTGCGAGCTGGCTCGCACCAGTCATGCATGCCCTGGGCCCTGGATACCTCGGCATCGGAACGGCACGAGGGGCGCGACTCGCTCTGATCCGACCTCAGCGTCCAATTACGCCGCTTCTTAGGCGCCTGCATCCAGCCGCTCGCACTCACAGGATCAGAGGTCAGCCTGGCTGGCGTCTCAAGAGTCGGCCGCATGACATCAGGGCTCTTTGGCGAACGCTCACCAGCTGCGCGCTTCAAAGAAGAGTCGCCTGACGGTGCAATCTGCTGCAAGGGCACCTCATCAGCGCTATCTGAAACCTGAATGATTGTGTTTCGGCAGCCTGGGAGATCAAACGGGAAGCGGCGAGACGGCGGCCCTTGCGCGCCGTCAGCCGCAGCAAAACAAGCCGACGCAACTGCAACCTGCTTGGCGCCAGAAACATCATCGGGCTCTGGCGCCGCCGAGCCACCAATCGCAGAACTCGGACCCTTTGTGAAACGAGACTGGCCTTCATGATTGCTGGCGGCAGGGCGCCCGTCAGAATCTGCCTCGCTCGCCGCGAGCGTGGCGGGGGCCTCTGACGCGACACCCTTGCGCGGCTCATCACTAAGTTCAGCCATCCACTCACTTCGCAAGACATTATTGGCCAACGGGGCGCGGTGAGAGAAATGCCTGCGCGCGCCCGCTGCCCTGGAAACTTTCGACCTGAACGGCGACGTAATGATGGCGATGCATTGCCGACTACAACTGCGAATCCCACCAGCCCTCTGGGCGTCGGTGGTTTAGAGGGCTTCCTCTTCCACATGCCCGTCTTCCCCTTCGGGGAGGGCGTTACCCCTCCCCCTACCCCCTCCACTGGACCTGGGCGGGGGGCCCCGCGAGTCGCCTGAGCGTCCAAAACGGCCTCGGCGAGGAAGCCAACATCATTTGCTTTACGTTGGCGTTGGCCACATGTTGGCACCCTGAGGGGGGACTGCAATTAGACTTTTCCCCGTCCTGTAATTGATCTCGCCCAAGACGGCCCATCGATGGCCCCGAAGGCCCCCAGGGGTGTCCCAGGAGGGCCCCACGAGGTGGCCAGGCAGCCCCAAGAGGCCCTCAGGATGCCCCCAAGAGGTTCCCAAGAGACCCCCAAGAGGCCCCAAGAGACCCCCCAGAGGCACCCAAGAAGCTCCAAGAGGCCTCGGCGAGAATGCCCAATCATTGATGCTACTAAGGTTTTAGCCACATGGTGGCCTCTTGGGGGGGGCACTGATTAAGATGACTCCAAGAGTGCCTGGGGGAGCCCACGATGACCTCCCAGACGGCTCAAGATACCCCAAGACGTCTCATACTGCCTTCCTCTGCGTGCTGCCCACTTCCCTGGTCGAGGCAATTCCTCGGGGCATCGTTTCTGGATGGGTTGGTGGGGATTCGCGAAGCGCCAACAATTTAGTCCTAAGAGCTGTTTCCTAAGGGACCGTGGCCATACACGAACTTAGACACTACCTAGTCATATGGTTTAAGCGGGTTGGATAGCGGGTGTCATCTAATGGTCTACATTTTGGATGCAGTTGATCGCTCATTCGGGGTATCATTGCTACCGTGGGTCGCAGCGACAGATGAGCGCCGCAAGGGCGCGGACCACTCGGGGGAGGGCGGGCGGGGAGGGGAGAGGCGATAGGCTCTTCTTAAGGACGGAGGGGAGGGGGGATGATTTGACTATAGCTAGCTGGCTCGGTGCAACCTGAGAGCGGCGTCGGCAGACAGCGCGTGCAGGCGCAGCGCCGACGCGCGAACAGAACACATGCTTGCCACCAGGATGCGTGACATCTCGGGGCGATGCGCAATGCGTCCCCCTTCGCCAGCTCGCAGGGTAAATCTGCCAGCAGAAAGGGGCGCATGCTAAACTCCCATCACGTACCCCGACAAATCCAGAGACTCGCTCTCCTCGCCATCAGCAAGGGCGCGTTCAAAACTGAGGAGCTTCCTCCCTGCGTCAGTGGCCTCAAGACCGCTGCGCGCCAACAATCTCTGGTCGCGGTCCAAGGCTCGGAGCCGCACGTTGTCTGTGTGCTCGACCTTCCTGTGGCATCCGTGGCCATCGACCAGCCATGCCGCGAGGAAGCCGCACGGCCTCCCTCCTTTCATCACTCCACCCGCAACTCTCTTCAACCTGGAGGTTCGCGTCAGGACGCACCCGTGCTTGGAGCAGACTGCCTCGAAACAGTTCTTCGACTCATAGTAGCTGATCTTCCCCGTGCCCACGTGAACAGTTGCCTCGGCAGGTCTCTGGCCGCCGCGCACAGGAGGCCCAGCGGCAAGTGGCGGAACCAGCTCTGGCGGCAGTGGAGCGGCTCCCGCCGGCGGCAGCTCCTCAGGCGGCGGCAGCGGGGGCGGCGGCGGTGGCGGCTCTCCTGAACCCGATGCCGCTGAACTGGCAGCCCCGCCGCCATCGCCTCCACTGGGGCCAGAAGAAGAAGAAGAAGAACCAGTGTCGCCGCCAGCTCCGTCGGCCCCGTCATCGGGGATCATGGCCAGAAACATGTCCATTAACTCATCCAAGTCGCTGCGTGGCTCGACACCCTCGCCACCCGTGCCGCCTCCCTCAGCGCCCTCATCCTTGGTGAGGTCCTCCTCGGGGTCGCAGCTGTCGCCGTCTGCCAGCGCCTGTGAGCCCGACGCAACTGAAGACCAATCAGGGGCAGAAGTATCTTTCACGTTCGTGCCCCTCTTCTCCCGCAAGGGCGGCCAGGCATGGTAGACAGGGCTGGCGCTCTCAACTGATACAATGTCTGGCGAAAGATACGGCAGAGCCAAGCTGGTAGAGCAAATCTGGAAGAACTCGACTGTCCACTTGGTGTTCAAGGACATTTCGCTGAAGGCCTGCATCTCTGTGTAGAAGCTGCCGACAGCCTGCGGCATATTGGGGGGCGCCGAGGGATCCCCTATGAAACCGTTTGCCCTCAACCCTCTGCATTGCCAGACACAAACACCTCAATGCCAAGGGGGGCGGGGGCTGGGAAATACGCGAGGCGCGCGCACTGGAAATGCATCGGCTATGCGGCTACGCGTCGGGGCGCACAGGAAAAGCATTTAACCTGGAGAAACGCATGGCAGACACGAACATCCCGCGAGCCTTCAACTTGATCTTCCGCTCATCCTCAGGCTGAGCAGCTGGCTTCTGCAATTTGCTGAAGGTCGGCCGAAATGGGCTCAAGTACATCGCGGCGACGTGGAACCACAGTTCCACAGGGGGTCCCTCGGCGCCCCCCAATGGCGAACCCTCAAACCGACACACGATGAAGCCATCGACCAGCAATGCTCGCATCGAAGATCGCGGTGGGCAGGCGGCCTTGAGATGGACCAAGTACTTATTCCGAAACTTCCACATGCGCAGCCCATCCCCTTGACAAATGCAGATGCCAGCCTTCATGCACGGAGTGAGGAGCGCAGCTGGGGCATCGACAGGAGCGCAATCGTCCCTCATGATTGTGCGGTGTCTCTGCGACCATTGTTGCTCTAGGTACTGCCCTAAGTTGCATTTGCTGAACGCCTCCGCCCACGCAACGCCAACTTTCGCATGCTGCTCTGAAGGGGGGCGCACGAAGTAGCAATGACCACGGCCCTCGCATGGCACTGGAACAATATCAGACTGCCGCAATATAGGTATTTGCCTGCGGAGCTCCTCCACGAAACCAGCGCCACTGCCAACCTCGAACTCAGAAAGCGTGTCCTGAATATCCTTCTCCTGCTGGGCAACCCGCTGCCGATTCTGTGAACTCAACTCCTTGGCAACGGCCACGTGGCAAGATACATCCATGAATGAAGTGCCCCCTGGGAGAAGGCTCACCACGTCGCCGCTCGTCGACTGCACGCGATTGGCCTGCGCCTGCCGCGTTGCCCGAAGTCTCATGGCAGCGCGCTGCTTCTCGTTCAGTCCGAACGCCCCTGCCTTGGGGCCAGCGCGCTCAGCCCTGGCAGCGACAGTGGCGAGGTTGCCATCACATACAAGTCTGTTCCAATCGTCACCGCCCCGTTGTTTGATCTCTCTGTACTGGGCGCTCAGGGCTCTGATGTCACAACCTCTCATCCCTCCCGCAGCCGAAGTCGCCGTGCTCACATGGGCCCTCCAAGAGCCCCCTGGCCTCATGCGCTTCTTCTCCTGCGCGGGCTCGTCGGGCACGGCGTCCTCCACCCCCCTCCCTTGCAACGTGAGGGCACGGCGAATGGGCAACGTGCGCATGCCATTCCGACCCCGCCAATCCGCCACCGCGCCGTTGGGCGCGGCGGCAGGTTGGCGTGGTCGGAATGCGTATTCCTTCAAGCACCCGTGGGGAGTCCATGAAGGGCCATGGCCTCACAGTGCCAAACATTATTGGGCCTGTCGCGTGCCCCCTGGGGTTCCTCGCAGCGTCTCGCGCGATTTTGTTGGGCCTGGTGGAATGCCCGATATGGGGCGGGAGGGCATCGCGCGGCCCTCGAGACGGCCCTGGAAGAACCCAGGTCGCCCGACGATCGCCCCAAGACGCTCAAGATGGCCTCAAGATGGCCCAAGAGGCCTCCGAGACGCCCAAACAGGGCCCCAAGAGCCAAGAGGGCCTTGAGATACCAACATAATGCATATTCCACGTGTGGTTCAATGCTCTGGGCGTCGATTATTCCAGCTCCCGACGCTCCACGACTGTCCAAGGTGTCCTCAGGACCGCCTCAAGACGGCCCACGAGGCCCCCCAGGCGGACCCCAGCACTACCCAAATCAGGCTCCAAGGCGGCTCCAGAGGCGCCCAAGACGACCCCAGAGGGTTTAAAGACAACCCCACGGAGGGCCCAGAGAGGGGGAACACGAACCGAAAATCCGAGCCCCCGCCCCAAGAGGCCCCCATGAGGCATCACGGAGGCCCCGAGAGCCCCCCCGAGAAGCCCCAACAGATCCCCAGGAGGCCCCGAAGACGCCTTCAGAAACCCCAGAACGGCCCCCAAGAGGCTTCAAACTTGTCACCAACCGAGAGGCCTCGCGCGACATCCCAACGAGCACCCAACAGACAGGCTTCCGACCCACAACCCAGGCTGGCGAGATGGGGAGGCCGTCAGATAAGTTATCTTCACGCCCCCGCCGCTCCCCCCCACCACCACCCCAAACATTGCGCACCGTCGTTCGGACTCAGAATTGCGCGTGTCACTCACCCCTCCCCCGTCCGCAAACATAACTTCGCGCTAACCCTCGACCTGACGCCCCCTGAGCGCCCGATTCTCGCATCCCTGTCCTGCTCGCTCGCACTGGTCTCATGGCGGTGCTGGCCAGACCAAGGTCGCGTCCTCTGAAGAGTGCGAGCCTGCTGCATCAGCCACTCGGCGGAGGCGTCCTCGATGTTGAGCGTGTGCGTGTGGGTTGACCTCTGCTCCAGCTGGCGTCGGACGGCAGCGTGCTTCGCCTCCACGCAGGTGATGTCCACCTGAATGAGCATGGCGAGGGTGAGCAGCACCTCCCAGAGGTCCTGGCCAACCAAGTCAGGGAAGCGGGCGCACAAATCTTTACCCCACGGCCCCTTCATACAGTCTGGGGTTCGGTTCAACGACTGCGCCCTGCTGCTATCCACGAGCAGCCCGAAGACTCTGAAGTGGAAGAGGGAGTGGTTCGACACGTGGAGCTGCTCCACCAGCGCGCCTTCCCGCGCGAGCAGGCGGAACGCCAGAGATGCGGCCCAAGCCAGATCGCCTGGAGCTCTTTGAAGAATTTTTCCTCCAGTATGAGCTCGCACGCGGTGACGATCCTGTAGTCCCTAGCGCCTAGTCCTGGAAGGCGTCCCATCTGATGCGACCTCGCCACGGCCGCCCTCTGGCTGAGCTCCCAGCGCAGGCTAGCCATGTCCAGCTGGTCGTGGAGCATGCGCATGATGGGATTGAGCGCGCACCTCAACAACATCAGGTCAGGCAAGGGATCTCTGGACAACCATTCGAGCGTCAACTTCCTGTCCTTGGCGTTCTTCTCTGCGAAGCTCGGCTCCGAGTCAGCGCGGCCAGTGTTGTCGACGACCTCATGTCGGTCAGCTGGAGCAGCGCCGGCGGGTACATCCGCATCTGGCCCGTGATGGACGTGCGCGACATCATCGACCCCGCCGTCGTCCAACACACCAGCAGCACCATCGGCGCCCACCGCCCCGCCAATAGGGCCCGCGGGAGGTAATTCTTTGCCGAGGGTTCGAGAAAACAAAGGATACGTCGCAGACGCCAGCCCGTGCATTGCTTCGAGGCGCCCCCAAAAATCAATTGCGATCTCTGAGCCCGTCCACCGATGTCTCGGCCACACGCTAGGCTTCGCGCTCACCAGGGCGAAACTGAGACCGTTCTCGATGACGCTTGCCACTGCAGCTACGTCGATGTCGGTCACAAGCCCGTGTGGCACGCATACATCGACGTAATCTCGATTCCTCCAGTCGCCGCGTGGAAGGCAAGCGACAACTACTTTCTTCACCTCCCTGTCAGGGCCAGTCTCGAAAAACATCTTGATGACAGATCTCTTGTACTTAACAGCGTCATCTGGCAGCCCCTCGGGGACGAGCTTGATCCTGGACTTGATCACGTGCCTCAAGCACTTCCTAAAATGATTCAAATAGCCGCTGAGCTGCAAGGACAGGGATGCGTGAATCACAGACGAAATCGTGCGAGGCATGAGACTCTCAAACGTCTTGCTGTGGATGCCTGCTGTCGCGTGAACTTCGCAGAACAAGTGCAGGGACTCCCATCCATGTCGGTCAGACGCGATGCTGTTCTCCACGACGATGTTGGGCTTCGCAGAGTCAGAGCAGCAGAAGCGCATCCGTTGTTTGAAGCCGTCGCTGTATGTGGACACCGCGCAACTCCGTAGCACTGCTTTCTTGCACACTGGCGCAGCCGTCGACTCCATCGGCTGCAGGGGGCACACCGTATTCAGATACAGCCGCACTGGGATATCGCCAACATTGACGAGCAACCACACTGCTTGGTTAATCTGCATGAGCTTCGTGACCATCGCAGCACTTCGTTCGTGAGCAGCGAGGGCGTGCATGAGCCGCAGTGCCCTGCCAAACGGCAGGGGGACAAGAGCGTGGAGATTGACATCACTTGCGGATCCTGCAGCAGCATCTCCCCTCAGCGTCGTCTTCATGGGGGTCTCGTCGTAGCGTGACGTGTCGACGTACAGCAGGCACCGTTCTCTGCCGAGCGACTCCACCAGGGCGCCCTCGAGCTTCTTCCGCAACTGAACCTGGCACAAGAAATACGCCTCAGCAAAGCGGTGAAGCGCTTTCTGCAGGACCTGGCGGTCGTGGCCTGTCTGCCTGGCGATCTGAGACCAGTTCAGCACGAGCCCAGAGGACATGCACCAATGTCGAGCCACATCCAGGATGATAGGACGCTGCACAGCACCAGGTGACATCCCCATTGCGACGCACGACTCAAGGTGAAGTGATAATGGGCTGGGCGGCGCAAGGGATACAACAGAAACTGGCATGCTCTTATCCCAGTCCCTCACGATCACACCCGTGTGTCTGGTCACCAGTTCTGCCGCGGGCGCATGAGAATCAGACTCCGTGGGCCTTAGTGGCGAGTCCAACTCCACTGATTGTGAATCCAAATCATCTGATACGGAACGCACCCACGACGCTGGACGACCTGTTCTCGATCTTTTCTGTGTCGGCTGGGGTGCCAGAGTGTCGTCCAGCGCATTCAACAACATGTTCGGCTCGGCGGCGGCTGATGCATCTGCTGGGGCCAAGCTGGCTGCGTCGATGGCCGCCACCGAGCCCCACGGGTCCTCTTCGGGCGGTTCGGGCTCCACATTATGAAGACTATGGACATATATGAATGAACATGAAGGGCTATCATGTTCCCAGAGCGAGGGGCCAGAACCTCTCGAGCCAAAATGGCTAAGGACGGGATGGTGTGCAGGGTGAACAAAGGGGGCGTGGGGTGGGTCACCGTTCCGCGAAAATGTACAGACGCGGCAATGATTATTGGGAGATATGGGAGAGGCATTTTTGGGGCGTCGACCGCACTGTGCTGGGGGTCTCTCGGCAAGGCGCAACATTGCAGCTTGGCCCACGTTAGTTGGCCTGGAACGTCGTTCGGCGAGGCGCAGCATCGTGATGCAGCAACGGGAGTCGCAGACATAGTAAGCTCTGGGCGAGGCGCGGAATTGTAAGGACTGTCTCTAGGCGAAACTCAATTTTGCATTGGCGTTTGAAGGTTTTGCGTCGCGCGTGCCCTCTCAAACATGGGGTGCGTGGGATGTCCTATGTTCGAAGCTGGGGCACGACTCATTATACATGGGGGGGACGTGTAAACGTGGCCATGGGAATTACGTTTTGCGATTTCGAAGCACTACGTGCTACTGTTGTCAGAAATGCATGTGGCGGCGCTTGAAATACATATAGCGCCGCACTGTCGAATCATGTTTCACTTTGCCCAGGTTAGGCTTTAACAGGCCCTGGGACCAACGAACAAACACAAGCAATCCAGGCCATAACTTGTTTGCACATGTGGCCTGCGCGCAACGACCGTCCTGCGCGGGCGTCGCGTATCCGACTCTCTGTCATACTGCCAAAATCGCACTCGCACTCCTCCTCCCCCCCCCTCCCAAAGCAACGTCGGACACCGGCGGTTTCTTACGGGGGAAAGCAGGTGATAATGAGGTGGGGAAGTAAGATTTGCGGGGGGGGGGGTACAACGAGGTGACCTGAATGGAATCACCGAAGAGCGCGCATATTGCTAATGGGACGAAGGAGTAGACACATCGGGGCAACGTTTAGAACGAGGCCAAGTATAACGAAATACTGCAGGTGGCTAAACGACTTACTTTGTAACATGATTTGTCTCGCGCGTGGGCCCCTCGCCTTCTTGAAGGGCGAGCGGGCGGGCTGGGCGTACCTATTTTTAACGATATGCACGAAGTTATTTTAAACCTATTTTTGACCTATCTGGCACTTTCTTCATACATGAGGCCTTACCAGGGGCGGGCACATCATAACACTAGCACCCTAACCAGCGAAGCCGCTCCAGTGGACACACTCCAGGAAGGAATCGAGCAAGGCAGGGCTTTTCAGCGAACGCCCAAGACTGTTTAAGCAGCAAGCGCCAATCATGGGGATCGGGCTGGTCTTTCCTACTTGAAGCCGGGAGTCACGCACCATGCCAGGGCCAGAGGATGGGCCTTGCCAGAAGCGGCAGCGGTGCACAGGGGGCCCCCTTCTGCAGTCCCGTGATGCACGGCTGGGGGCTGGGCGCAGGCAGGGTCGCCGGCAGGGCGAGGTCGGCAGCAAGCTGCTCAGGCAGCGCCGCCTCCAAGGCCAGCTTCGCCGCGTCGGCGCTGACTGGCCCCAGCCCGGCGATGCAGCGGAGCCTGTCCCGCATGTGCGGCATGCTCTCCTGGGCAGCGAGCGCGAAATGCGCGGCGACGTCGGCGTGATTGATGATTATCTCCGGGCAGCCCACGACGGCCATGTAGACCTCTCCCACCGTCTCCACCTGAGAGACAACAAAAAAGGCCTTACGAAAAGTGGCATGGCGAACTTGAGCCGCAGCTTACCCTTGCCCTGTTTCCTCCCTACCTTCCGTGTAGAAGGTGCGGAAAGTGATCGGAGGTGAGGGGGTGAGATCGAAGTGGAACGGAGAGCCCCCCTACCAAGAAATCGGTTTCGGTTTCGTGTTCGCGCGTGCCGTGCGTGCGGGCGAGGCGAAGCTGCGTGGGCGGGCGAGAAAAAGTCTCCTCCGGCTGAGGCGCGGCCGGACCAAATGATTCCTCTCTGGGGGCCGGTGCCGCGCGGTGTCCCGCCGGTGTCCCGCCTCCAGCTGAGGCGCGGCCGGACCAAATGTTTCCTTTCTGGGGGCTGGTGCCGCGCGGTATCCCGCCGGTGTCCCGCCGGTGTCCCGTCGGTGTCCCGATGATGATGATGATGATGATGATGATGGTGATGATGATGATGGTGATGATGATGATGATGATGATGATATTGGCGATGATGATGATGATGCTGATGGTGATGGTGGTGATGATGATGGTGCCCCGATGATGATGATGATGATGATGAGGAGGAGGAGGAGGAATCGGACGATGATGATGATGATGATGGTGATGGTGGTGATGATGATGGTGTCCCGATGGTGATCACGATATTGATGATGATGTTGCTGATGATGACGATGGTGCCCCGATGATGATGATGGTGATGATGATGATGATGTTGATGATCATGATGATGCTGGTGATGATGAGACGACGATGAGATGATGATGATGGTGGTGTCACGATGATGATGATGATGATGGGATGATGATGATGATGATGATGATGATGATGTTGATGATGATGACGATGATGGTGTCCCAATAATGATGTTGATGATGATGACGATGATGGTGTCCCAATGATGATGATGATGATGATGATGATGATGATGTTGATGATGAGGATGATGATGAGGTGATGATGGTGTTGCTGATGGTGGTCCGATGCTGGTGATGATGCTGATGCTGATGCTGATGTTGATGATGCTTACGGTGTTCCGATGATGATGATGATGATGATGCTGATGATGGTGATGATGATGATGGTGACGATGATGATGGTGTCCCGATGATGATGATGATGTTGATGATGCTGATGTTGCTGATGATTATGGTGCCCCGATGATGATGATGTTGATGATGTTGCTCATGATGGTGATGATGTGATAATAAGAATGGTGGTGTTCCGATGCTGATGATATTGGTGTCTCGATGATGTTGATGATGATGTTGATGATGATGATGATGATGGTGACGATGATGGTGCCACGATGATGGTGATGATGATCATGATGGTGATGACGATGGTGATGAGGTGATGGTGATGGTGTCCCGATGATGATGATTATGATGATGATGATGACGATGATCTTGATGATGTTGATGGCGATGGTGTTGATGCTGATGATGTGGACGTTGATTGTGAGATCGATTGTGATATCGGTAGTGAGATCGATAGTGAGACCGAATGTGAGATCGATTGTGACATCGATAGTGAAATCGACAGTGAGATCGATTGTGAGGTCAATAGTCAGATCGATTGTGAGATCGATCAAATGAAACAGACCGAGTGAGATCGATTGCGAGATCGATCGAGTGAGATCGATCGAGTGAGACCGATAGTGAGATCGATGGTGAGATCGATAGTGAGGCCGATCGAGTGAGACGTTGGTTCCTCCCCCCGAACCTCCTTATCACCCGAAGGGTGGTCGTATAGGTAAGAAGTATGGCGTTCGAGCTCAATTGTTATCGATGTCCATGGGATGCGCTCAAATACATGAACTGATCTGAATTAGTCCTGTGGTCAACAAAACCGGCGCGATTGGGTCTGCAACACGATGCAGGTATTGGCCGCCAGAGCGACGAGAAGGAGGAAAAGGAGGAGGGGGAGGAGGATTGTCCTTGGATGTCCCTGGGTGTCCCTTGGTGTCCCCGCTTGTCCTGCTTGTCCCTGAATGTTCCTGCGTGTCCATTGGTGTCCCCGGACGTCCCTGGATGTCCCTGGTGTCCCTGTGTGACCCTGTGTGTCCCTGTGTTCCCTGGGTCTCCCTCGGTGTCCGTGTGTGTCCCTTAGTGTCCCAGGATGCCCTTTGGGTGTCCCGTTGCCCTTGGCTGTCCCCTGAGTGTCGTTGGGCGTCCCTGCATGTCCCATGAATTAGTCCCTGGGTAACCCTGGATGCCCTTGGATGTCCCCTAAGGTCCTTTGGTGTCCCTGGATGTCCTGAGGTGTCCCGGGTTGTCCTGGATAGTGCCGGGGTTCCCTATATGAACGTTTGGTTGTCCCATGGATGTCATCGAATGTCTGCGGGCGCCTGGATGTCCTAAAAGGTGTCTGCGTCACGTCACGGGCGTCTCTTTGCCCCATGCGCGTCCTTGCTGTATGCGGGCTTCCTTGAAACATCGCAGGTGTCTGTGCGACTTTGGTAGCCACTGCTGCGTTGGAGTGCCTGTGTATTCATTGCGAACCTTACCAGTGTCCGCGGATGTCCCGCAGTGTCCACGATCGTCCTTGGATGTCCCTGGGTGTCCCTAGTGATGTCCCTGGATGTCCTTGGGTGTCCCTGTGTGTCCCTGGGTGTCCCAAAATGTCCCTGCTTGTACCTGGATGTCCCTGCGTGTGCCCGTATGTCTCTACAGGTCACTCAGTGCCCGCGGACAACGATGACCCGCAGCGTTGGGCGCATGCCCCTTGAGTGCCAGCAGAGGCCTCTGCACTGGCGAATGTCTTTTGATGTCTTGCGGTGTTTGTATGCGTCTTTGGATGACCGCGGGGTCTGCGACTGCCCCTGGGTAACGTATGCTTGCACGGCAGCCCAACAAACATGCGTTTGTATCTGCATTCGCATGTCAAGCGCGTTTGCATTGTGTGTGCTCTTGACCGTTTGTTCATTGTCCTGATTGAGTGAAGAACTAGACTTCCACGCAGAGCTGGGCAAGCGGGGGGGGGCGGCTGAGTCATGCGTGTCGCTAGTCCAGAGCTGTTGTCTCACTGGTGTGTGTGTGTGTCCGAGGTGTCATGTGTGCACACATGCGTGCGTATGCATACGTATAGTATTACAATTATCGTGCACTTGAGCTGGAAAAATATACCTAGAGCTATATAGGTGGGGTGCACATGCGCGTATACATATATGAACACACATGGGCACACAGCAACACATACTGCACTTGGGTTAGGCCAGAATCCAACGTAGTACTGCAACGAATATGGCATGCATGGGCTCTCATATCAACGCCGCGTGTATGGTGGTTACCTAGCTATCATCAAAATGACATTGGGTTCGGCACGGTGTCCGTGAGTGCCATATGGTTTCCCATAGGTGTCGGTGGGTTCCCAACTGTTGTTTTGACTTGTTCGGGGCCGTAGCAAAACATATCAAGTCATTACAAGCCATTCCGAACAAGAAACACACACGCCACGACACTTCAAACCATTGCAACACAACCCATGACACTTCAAAATATGTCAGAGCATGCCAATCCATGACATTGCCAAACATGTCAAATCAGTTCAAAACATGTCAAATGCTTTGAAATGTCCCGAACTGTCTCGATGAATTCCGATGCGTCCCGACATATACCGAAATGAACCGAACTGTAACGAAATGTGCCGAAACGGTGTCCAGCCTTTCTCCACCATACACACATATCAAGACTTTTGGTTCCATTGCAGACGCTTGCATGAACATCTCCCAAACAGTTCAAGGCACCTAAAGATATGTTAAGACAGTCCAAGACGTTCCAATTCTCGCCCGCCCGCCTAAGTCTCGCGACGGTCACCCTGGAAATCGGGACGTCGAGGGGCTGCGCCGCCCAATTTTCGGGCCACCCATCCTGATCGGGGCTGGGAGGCAGAATTGCGGCCCGCTGCGCCGCCAGAACTTCGGGGCACCCGTCCTTATCAGAGCTGGAAGCTGGGACTCGGGGCCGTTGCGCCGCCCAAATGTCGGGACATCCATCCTCATCGGGGCTGAGGGTCGGGACTTCGGGCCGCTGCGCCGCCCTTGTCTTCACGACATCCATCATCATCAGAGCTCGGTATAGGACTTCGGGCAGCTGCCCCGCCAGAGTTTCAAACCATCCAGCCTGATCGGGGCTGAGAATCTGGACATCGGGCCACTGTGCCGCTCAACTTTCCGGATTTCCATTATGTCGGGGAAGAGAATCTGGACTTCGGCAATCGCGGCTACATTTGAAGCTAGCACCCAGGCTCGCCGCCACAAGTCTGGACATCCGTTGTTGCCCAAACTCACGGTCGTGGCCCAAATTCATGTAATATGCTTCAACCCATGTAGATTTATGCAGCTGCAGTAAATATGCTCAAACTCGTACACGTTTGCTGAAAATTATACAGATATGCAAACTAATGATAAACATTCGTCTCTAATAGTTGTACAGCAGTACTACACCCATCAGATACAACATCACGCACACGACTGTGTCGAAACAGCTGTACATACGCGCGTCCGTTTGAAGGGTCCAGGCCAGTTCATTGCGCGCGGTGTTGATGATGCGGTGCCATGCCCATGCACAAAATGAGGGCATCGCGTTGCAATGCAAACTCATGCGTGATACGTGGTGGCCATGGCGGTTTAACTAGCTCTGCCCAGTGTGCACAAGGCTGCGTACGGGCAGTGCACACTTGCAAATGGCATGTGTGGCACTCGTGGGTTCATCGGGGCTACGAGAGTGCACCGAAAGCAATCGAACGGTTTACCATCCTACCGCAGCATCTGGGTTCACGCCACCGGAATAGACCGATTATGGAATCTGGGCCATCGTGTGTAATTGTATTTGTGATTGCGGAACCACGTTGCTGGCAATGGATTGCACCCTATTGCAATCAAGAACAAATCCACACATCTCGGATATTCTCTTCTCGTGGTGCCTGAATGTATGCTTCTTTGGCTTGCGAACACGATTTCACCGTACTTTGCGGAACTGCCCATCATATAAGACATCCCGAGCAACGTACGGAAGCTGCCCGTAAGTCATCAATTATTTGGGAATGTGCCCGCGTCGTTGTCGGTGTGTACTCGCGTGTGTGTGTTGTGTGTGTGTTGTGTGTGTGTTGTGTGTTGTGTGTGTGTGTTGTGTGTGTGTGTTGTGTTTGTGTGTTGCGCGTGTGTTTGTGTTTGTGCTTGTGTTTGTGTTTGTGTGTGCCGCTCGTCCGAGAGGCCCCGTCCGAGGTCGAACACAGCCCTGCGCATGCCACAATACTCAAGAATATGATGCTGCCCTCAGCCCGCTCCGCCCTGCGGGGGCCAGGGGCCTTCCCAGGGGGCCTCCCCAGAGGGGGCGCATGGGGACTGCGATTCGCCCCACGCCGCCCACTGGCGACGAGGAGGCACCGGCCCTGCCGCCCGCGCCTGCCCAGGAGCCGCCCGCTCCAGGCCACGCGCTCCCAGAGGAGCCTTCGCCTCACGCCGGCTTGGCCCGTGGGCCTCACGCCGACTTGGCGGCACCGCCGCCGATGTCCAGCGTCGCCAAGGAGGAGTGCGGGCACATGTAGGGAGCGTCCGTGCCCTCCGCGCAAACCCCGACGAGGTCGCCCTGCACGAAGAGGACCTCGACGAGGGCACCCTCCAGGGGCCCGCCGCGCAGAGCCGCATCCGCATGCCCTCGGACACGGCAGCGCGGGAGGCCGCAGGCAGCAGCGGCTGGGGAGGCGGCCTGGCGTGCACGTCGTGCCGCACGCTCATCACCTCGTCCTCGCCGTGGGCAGTCGCCGCCACGGGCACGTGCGAGAGCACGAGGGCCCTGCGCTCGCCTCCAGTTGCGGCTCCGCCACTCCCCTCGGCCGCCTCCGTCTTCGCGACGACCTCCGCGGGCTCCACCCCCGTGGGCTTCCGCAGCAGGCCGTCGGCCCAGGAGTCGTCGTCGACATCGGCGGCAGCGGCAGCACCGACGTCGTCGACCTCCTCCTCCACCTCTCCCTCCATCTCCAGTGGGGCCTCGGCAGCGCCGACTGCCCTGGCCTTCCGAGCTCGGCGGCGGCTCGGCCGCGGCAGGACCGTGGGCAGCATCAGCTGGGGCCACCACCTGGGCGGGCGGGGGTGCAGCCGCCTGCGCAGGCCGCCCAGAGAGCACCTGCAACTCGGCGACGGCGGCGCGGATCGCACCCTCCGCGCTCCGAAGCAGGCGGCACGCGGCCGCCGAGCTGGAGCGGGACAGGCCCGCCGCGCCGTGCGTGGCAAGGCACGCCCCGCGGGCTGCCGCCAACGCATTCGCCAGCGCAAGGCGCTGGGGTGCCACAGACATCAGCGGCCTCGGGCGGGCGACCAGAACGGTGCCCTGCGGCGCGAGGCTTGAGCCAGAATGGCTGTGTGTGCGTGTGTGCGTGTGTGCGTGCGTGCGTGCGTGCGTGCGTGCGTGCGTGCGTGCGTGCGTGCGTGCGTGCATGCGTGTGTGTGTGTGTGTGTGAGTGTGAGTGTGTGTGTGTGTGTGAGTGTGAGTGTGAGTGTGTGAGTGTGAGTGTGAGTGTGAGTGTGAGTGTGAGTGTGTGAGTGTGAGTGTGAGTGTGTGTGTGTGTGAGAGTGTGAGTGTGAGTGTGAGTGTGAGTGTGAGTGTGTGAGTGTGTGTGTGCACGTGTGTGTGAGGGCGCACCGTGTTATGCCATACATGCATATACATAGAAGCACATCGATAGTACTGGTGTACATATATGCATATACATAGTATGTCTGCATGTATAGACATATTGGCATAAGAATATCCTGGCGAAGGTTGTGGGTACCGCAATTGTGAATATCTTCTTCGATGAAGCGCTGCACTGGGTGGGGGGAAACGCATGCGGGCGGTAGCACTGGGGCCGTCGGTGGAGCTCCCTATGGGGCAACGAAGCGCTGTACTGGTTGGATGAAAATGCCAAGTTGGGTGTGTGGGACGCATGCGGACGGTCCCACTGGGGGCTTCGGTGGAGCTCCCTATGGGGCCATGAAGCGCTATACCGGGTGGGTGAAAATGCCAACTCCCGGATGCATGCGGACGGTCAAACTAGGGGCTTCGGTTGAGCTCCTAACGGGGCCAAGCAACACAATACTGGGTGGGTGAAAATGCCAACTTGGGCTTCCGGGACGCATGCGGACGGTCAAACTGGGGGCTTCGGTGGAGCTCCTACTGGGACCAAGAAACGCTACACTGGGTGTGGCGGACGCATGTGGTACCCCCCACCACTGGGGCCTTCGGTGGAGCTCCCCATGGGGCCACGAAACGCTGTACTGGGTATGGCAGACGCATGTGGTATCCCCCATTGGGGCCTTCGGTGGAGCTCCCCATGGGGCCACGAAACGCTGTACTGGGTGTGGCAGACGCATGTGGTACCCTCCCCCCGGGGGCCTTACGTGGAGCTCCCCATGGGGCCACGAAGCGCTGTACTGGGTGGGTGAAAGGCACGGAGAAGGGAGGAGGAGGAGGAGGAGGAGGAGGAGGAGGAGGAGGAGGAGGAGGAGGAGGGCGCGGGAGGAGAAGGCGGAGACGCGGGGACCGTCTCTTCAAAACGAGGACCCAACACCACAGTACGGTTGGGAACAAAAGCCGTCCAGGCCATCCGAAACCAGACACGAAAGACAAGCCACACCGGGACACGTGCCTGCGGCTCTGCGGCGGCATGGAGAAAAGCGAGAGCAAGGGCACGGGGGCCGCCGGCGCAGCACGCTGCCGTGGCGACGAGGGCGCCTGCGCGCGACCTCGCGCGGGTAGCCTGCGCGCAGCTGTCGGCGAGTGTGCGTGCAGGTGTTCGTCGCCCTGACCTTGTACACGTCGAGCAGGTCGCTGAGGCGGTCGAACTCGTGATAGATGACGTTCAGCACCTCGACGACAGTCTCTGGGGACAGCTGGGCGCACAGCCTGTGGAAGCCGCAGATCTCGATGAAGACCACCGTGACGTCCTGGAAGAGCTCAGGGACGACCTGAGGGTAGGAAAAGTTACCCATACCGAACTTCCCTAATTTTCTTCTTTTTGAGCCTCCTGGGAGGCCCTCGTCGCCGCCGCTGGATTCGCCTCGAAATTCTGGTCAAACGCACCCGGGAGAGGTCCAGGGACGAAAGGTATCGGTCCCCATTGACTGCCCCACGACCGGGTCATTCATCAGGGCTGAGGCGATGATCTGGCGCGGGAGGAGGCTCCGCAGCAGGTCCGTGCAGCGCTTCTCCTCCAGCTTGAGGAGCTTCTTTTGGGACTGGAGCTGCTCGGTGACGAGGAAGTCCTTGCGCATGGACAGATCCCGCATCGATGTGGAGATCACCTGCAAGCTAGGTCAGCATCAAATCGGGAAATCGGATTGAACCGGACCGTGTGTCGGACCAGACTGCATCAGCACGGATTCGAAGTCCAGTCGGATCGGCCGCGCCAGGACGCGCAACAATGCCATGCGAACATCGGGCCGCATCGGATCGCTTGATCATCGAAATCGATCCAGATCGGGCTGGCCGGATGAGATATCGAGCCGCGCCGATCGGACCGTGGTGGGCCCTGCACCTGCGACAGGAGGATGAACGTCACCATCAGCAAATCTCGTATCATCTCTGCCTCTACGGGGCAACGGTAGTGGGGGGACCAGCTCAGGGAGGAAATATCGACCTGGAGTCAGCGATACATCGCCGATTGATCGGCGAGAGGCTCCCGATGCCGAATCACCATGTTCATAGGCGGGGCGGGGCGAGGCTATCATACCATAACCGGCGATCAATGGGCGATTAGGGTACGATGCACGCCCCCCCATCCCCCATAACACTGCCCCTTGGCATTCGGGGCATAACTCGGCTCCCTGGCGGCCGTTCAGCGGGCACCCCCAGAATGCTCTCCGCGAGGCGCAGACGCAGCAAGGTATCGGGAAGCTGGAAAGCCGACGAGAATCTACAACACACATCCGAACATCTCTCTAATCCGCCGACCCCTTGGGGTTCATCGGCGTGTGAGATCTCCCCCCTCCCCAAACCCCTCCCCCGGGAGCCCGGTCCGGTCGATTTGGAGGGGGAGGGGGGGGGTCCGGCCAAATTCCCCGATTCCCCCGGGGGGGTCCGGCCAAATTCCCATATTCTCCCGGGGGGGTCATCCGCTCCCGAAAATCCTGCAAGGACTCCTCCGGTGGCCTCGAAATGGCCCCGGGACGCCAAACGAGCGTTCCAAGACGCCCAAGGCGGCCCAAAGACGGGCTACGAGGCCTCCTAGACGGCACAAGGGGTCCCCAAGAGGCCCCAAGAGGCCCCCAAGATGCGTCCCAAGAGGGTCCCTAGACGCACAAGTTTGCCCATTCCCTCCGTTAAACGTACATTTTTCACAAGTTCGCCTTCTGGGTTTTCCGATGCTCCCAGACGGCCCAAGAGGCCCCCAAGACCGCCCCAAGACGGCCCAAGAAGCCTCCAAGAGGGTCCCAAAATAGCCCAAGAGGGCCCCAAGACGGGCCAACAGGCGTCCAAGACGGCCCAAGAGGGCCCCGAAAACGGCCCCAAGAGCGCTCCAGGAGCGCTCCGAGTGACCTCCAAGAAAGCTCAATATGGTCCCACACGGTCCAAGAGCGATCAAAGACACCGAAGACGGCCTCCAGACGGCCCAATATGCCCCCAAGATGGCCTCTAGACGCAAAAAGTTGGTCCGTTCCCTTCGTAAAACGTATATGTTTGCACAAGTTCGCCTTTTTGGCTTTCCGACGCTCCTAGACGGCCCAAGAAATCCCCAAGACCGCACCAAGACGGCCCAAGAAACCTCCAAGAGGGCCCCAAGACAGCCCAAGAGGGCGCCAAGACGGCTCAAGAGGCGCCGGAGACGGCCCAAGAGAGCCCCGAAGACGGCCCCAAGAGCGTTCCAGGAGCGCTCCAAGTGGCTTCCAAGAGAGCTCAATATGGTCCCACACGGTCCAAGAGCGATCGAAGACACCCGAGATGGCCTCCAGCTGGCCCAAGACGCCCCCAAAGGGGCTCCAAGATGCGTCCCAAGAGGGCCCCTAGACGCAACAAGTTGCTCATTTCCTGCGTAAAACGTATAGTTTTCACAAATGCGCCTCGTGGGTTTTCCGACGCCCCAAGGCGGCCCAAGAGGCCCCGAAGACCGCCCCAAGACGGCCCCAGGGGCCCCCAAGACGGCCCCACGACAGCCCAAGATGGCCCCAAGACGGCCCAAGAGTTCCCCAACACGGCCCAAGAAGGCTCCAAGACGGCACCAAGAGGGGCCCAAGAGGGCAACCAAAAATTAAAAAATCTAGCTTTCCGCCCCCACGAGCCCCAGGGGGCCCCAAGAGTGCCCCAAGAGGCCGCCAGAGGCCCCCAAAAGGCCGCCAAGACGCCCCAAGGAGCCCCCAAGAGGCCCCCAGGAGGCCTCCAAAAGACCCCCAGACGCTTCCGCATCGCGAGCCGTCAAGCCAACTGCAATGCACTCCGCGCGTGCAGCCTTGCTCTTCCTCGCGACGTGCTCACAATCTTGCTCGGCGCTAATGTGCTGCTGCCACGCGAACTGTTTCGTGCGCGCTGCGAACGTCAACAGCCTCTTCACCCGTTTCGACTCATCTGCCACATCTTTCGCGGTGATGCTTCGCTGATCACAGCTTCCGCGCGCTACTCTTGCTCCTTTCGTCTTCCGGTGGTCCCCCACTTGGTTGCGGGTCGAAAGGCCGACCTCCCAGAATGACACCCCGCACCCGGGTGCACAGCACGCAAGGCGCTCGCAAAACACGCCCCAGACCACCGGCATCACGCAAACATTTGGACCCCCTACGTATCAGCCACCACCCGCGCGCGACACCGCACCCTCACACAAGACGCCGCTGGCCAGAAACTCCTGGCCTCGCAACAGTCACAGAAGGGGTCGGCGGATGTGGCGTAAGCCTGTAGAATCTTGCCCCTGAGCCTCAGCCGACCTGCTCTTGTCCCCGCACCGGTCGTCCTCGCCCGCAGACCCCTCGAGGCCGTAGCGCAGGAGGGTTGGATCTCTGTACCGGACGTAGGTGGCAAACGCAAAGGGCAGTAAGCAGGAGAGCGACGTGACCGCGTGCAGCGTCAGCTCCGGAAAGGGGGTGAAGTTCTGCACAAAGCCGATGTGCATCATCAGCATTCCTCAGGCGGGTGGTGATGGAGGGTCACCTACATGGGGGTGAAGAAAGAGGGCCCTCAATGGGGCCCTTCAGGGCCCCTGCTAGCTCCAGGAGTGGCCCGACAGGACTCCTTCAGGGCTCATTTCTTCACCCTCCAGCTGTGTCAGCCCCCATCACCACCCGCCCGAATTCCATAATCAACTCTGGGGCGCAGCCACTCCGCCGCGATGATCGCCAGCCCCTGTAGCCCGAACGCCGCCAGCACGACGTTCTCCAGCCTGGAGCGGCTGAGAGTCTCGTTCCTCTTCCTGTTGCGCAGCGCCTGGAAGACGCACAACCCGTAGGGGGGCATTACGGCGCAGGCATAGATGCCCGAGCGCAACCATTCACGGCGGTAGCAGGCCCATATCGCAAGCAGAGCTGCTCCCGCGAACATCAGGCAACTCACCCTCTGAAAGGCGCCCCTGAGGCGACAATTCTTCGATCTGGCGAACTTGGATTCTGTGGCGTGGTCGACGCGATTGTCGGCGAAATGGGCGAACGTGGAACCGATGCCACGATGCCTCACGACTTGCAGCTCGTGAACGTCGTCCAGCCTGGTATCAACAGCAACATGGGTCTGCCCGTACTCGGTGAAATTGCTTCTGTCTGTCACACCCTGGCCGGCCGCATCGAATGAGATGGTGACACGCGTCTGCATCTGCACGGGGTTCGACGAATTAGTGGTGGCAGCTCTGGGCGAGATGTCCAAGGTCTCCTGGTCTCGAGACCCTGATGGAGACGACAAGGTTAGGTTATGTGGGGGGGGGCGGACAAGCCGATCACCAAGGTCAAAGCTGGACCCTAAAAGGTATACTCCAGTGAAACGGGTCCTAGACCAAGGGGCTCCCGAGGGCAATTTGGTTGTACCCCAAGCCAAGCCGCTCCTGTCGACGACACCAGAACACGGAGGGCCCCGGGATGACGAAAACGGCAGAAAAAAGACCTCAGGACACGAAGTCTCAGGCCCTGAGATGCGTCGTCGCAACACAACTTGCAACACCACGAGGAATCACAACCTGAGCCCGATACATACTGGATCTGACCACAACACCTCTCGAGCTGGATCGATATGTGAGGGCCCCCGTAGGGCCCGTAACCGGTAACCTGTCCAAAACGACAGGTTCGTCTAGTTTCGACGGCCAGATCTCAAAAGGAGGAGGGGGCGTGTTCCTCATTTGACTTAGTCGGCACGCCCGGAATGGATACGGATTGGGCAGGCGACCTTTTATCTCAAACGGACAGCGCTCGCGGCGACACCGACAGCGAGTCCTGCTCAACATGGGCAGGAACTAATGTCAATCTTCGTCCCCATTCTTGCTGCACGGCAGGTTGGTGTCGTGACGATTTCAGCACTTGTTTCTGACACAACATCGTTTGCCCAACCTTGAGTGATCGCAACTTCGCGCTAACGCAGATCGTCCGCTGCAGGCCGATTGAGGGCCACTGTCGGCGTTCAACTTGAACGCCCGCGCCAGGGTCGCCACCGCGCCGACACAACACGATTCTGCCTTACAGTAGACATACACGCACGATAAGAAATCTTATAGGACACGATCTGCAGATTTCGGAGGGCTCTGAGGTACCCCCGGAGACTCCGTGGGCCCACCGAGGCCCTCAGGAGTGGAGACATGTCTGCGGGGCACCTGCTGGCAGGCCGACCTCTTATCTGATGTGCCTGCTGTGCCGACTCCGATCGTGTGTTAACAGGGGATGTGTCGACCCCTATCCCAGGCTTCGTGGGGTTTCCAAATGGACCAGAAATTTGGGGCCCAACCCTGGGATATACGATGGGGGGGTGTCCATTCTTGATAGGGGTGCGTCCGAATAGCCCCCTTGGGGTGTATCCCAGGGTTTTCCCATTCTTCTGAGCGGCCAGACTTTTCGGGCGAAACTCGGGGATTGGGGGAGAAACATCGCCCGCGACGATCGTGTGTGGCGAGGGGCCACCTGGGGACTGCAGGGACACCATCGGCGCTGGCGAGGGAGCCATCGATGATGTCGGGGAGACGGAAGACTTGGGCTCCGGGGGCGCGGGTCGGCCTTGCGAGGCCGTCAAGAAAATGACGAGACCCAATTTCTGACATATGACGCGAGCTCCCGCTGCAAACACCCCACGGACACGGGGCCGTCAAAATACAGGACGGGCTCGTCAAACAGCATTGGCAAGCCCTCGTTCCGGCGCGCTCGAGTCTTACGCTTCCCCGAGGATGGCCCCAGAGAGGCACCCCGGGCGCCGCCTCGCTGGGCGCTGAGCCAGCGCGGCGACGAAGACCCGAGAGCAGCAGGGGCACCTGTCCCCGACCGGAGGCACGCGAGGAGGATCATAATCATGGGGGACAGGGCGACCCCAATCCCCGACGTTGGAGAGTTTTCGGCTAGACCCAAAATCTGGAGCCCCACGATGGGGAGGCGTCCGTCCTCAATATGGGTGCGTCCGCCGAAGAGCCCCCTTGGGGTGTATCCCAGAGTTCCCTCCCCTTTTTTCTGAACGGCCAACCTTATCGGGCGGAACTCAAGGATCGATCGCCTGCGACTGAACTGGGAAACCAAAGCACCGCTACCGCTACCCCCTAAACCTCTCCCAGGCGCCTTCTGACCAGAATTCCGAGGCGAACCCAGCGGTGGCGACAAGAGCCTCCGAGGAGGCCCAAAAAGGCAAACACGAGGGAAGGGCGGCGACATGGGTACCATGTCCTCCTCCGAAGGACGGGCTGTCCGTCCCGAGCCGCCTCGTGACGTTCCGGGGGGGGGGGGGCCAGCTAGAGCCCCCCAAGGAGGCCGGAAGAGACAAGCGACGAAAATCTCCGCCGCGGTTCGTCCACGGCGCGAGTGGGGTCGATGCGGGCGCCGCAGCCTCTCCACAGCGGGCGCTCCCGCACGGCCCAGGGCCCCCTGGGCCCTCGCAGGTCGGACACGCTCGGGCAGATGCCGCAGAGGGGATGCGGCCCTCTTGCACGAAGACGTCGCGAAGCAAAACGCACGCCATGGCACGACTGAGCTGCAGCGCTCAGAAGCCAAAACGAAGCGTCGCTGACCTCGTGCCGAGAGCACGGGTGGGTGTCTGTCACGTCCAGAACCCCCAACACGTGTACAATAGATGACGCGCGGACGCGATGTGTTGCTTCGCAGTTCGGGGTGGTCCGATCGTGCTTCTTTTTCTTGCGTCGTCGGATCTCAGGGTCCTGACGTCGTGAACAGCAGCCACGACGGAGGGCTTCTGGCGGGTCTGGGGCCTCGATCCCAAACCCCTGGCGCCAAGTCTTTTTCATGACGTCGACCCCGAGCGGTCCCGATCCATTCCTCGGGACGGGTTCTTCCTCCTGAGGCAGTTCTTGGACCACCCCGAGGCCCGGCGGGGGCCCCCAAACGCCAGGGATGGCGAAAGACTTCCCGCCCAGAGTTGTTCACGACGCGAGCATGCCTGGGTCCCCCGACTCCGGGCCCCCCGAGACTGAGCACGGAGAGAAAAACCTTCTGCCGTCTGTCATGTCTCACGGGCTCCCAGCGGCGGCGTGTCTTGTGTGTACTCCCGTGCCTCCCTGACTGCTCTTTCGAGACGTGGTCTCTGGAGACCAAGGCCCCTGTCCCAAGGCCAGCTCCTCATCCCGACTCGCTCCTCCTCCCGGCCTCGGGTCCCACAGCCAATCCCGAAAGAACCAAGGCGCAAGAGGCCTCCGCCCCGATGTCTGCTCCAGACGCTGGATGTCTGGGAAGTGCCCAAGCTGTGGCACACCGTGGACCCCTTCGGGTCTGGAGTCATCCCCAGGACTGGGGAAGTCAAAATATACCGATGCCGATACTACCCAAACCTCTACTGGGGTGCGTTCTGATCAGGATTCCGAGGCGAATCCGTTGGTGGCGACGAAGGCCTCCGAGGAGGCCGAAGAAGGCAAACGCGAGGGGAGGGTAGCGGTATGGGTGCCTTGTCCTCCTCCGAAGGGCGGGCGCTCCGTAAAGCCTCCAAGGAGGGCGAAGGAGGTAAACACGAGGGAAAGGTAGCAATAGTGCGTGCCCTGTCCTCCTCCGAAGGACGGGCTGTCCGTCCCGAGCCGCCTCGTGACGTCCGGGGGCCCAGCGAAGGCCCCCACAAGGAGGCCCGAAGAGACAAGCAACGCGAACCTCCGCCGTGGTTCGTCCACGACGCGACTGGTGTCGATTTGGCGGCGCTCACAAGGCGGTAGGGGGGAGGGGGGGAGGCTTCTCACAGGGAAGTTGCCTCTCAGAAGGCGCTGGCCCTGAATCTACAGCCTGGGCCCGCACCTTCGAAGAAGCAAGGGTGTTTCTAAGAACCCTTCCCCCTTCCCCGTACGGCCGGACCTAAGCAAGAAAATCTGTCAAGAACATGAAACCGCCCGCTGGCCAAACTGAAGAACATTCGGGGCGACCCTCCCCCAGGATGCACAATAACATCCAACAAACGCGCAAACACCCAGGGCCCCCTCCCCAAAATCGCGTGGGTGATCTGCGGGGAGGACGGCCGCGAGGGCGGGCCCGAGCCCAGGCTGTGCACATGATGCCCCGCGCGCGCCAGGGAACGGCGCGGCGCGCCCAGCGAGCTCGACCAGCAAGGCAAACGATAGGGATGGCACGGCGTGCAGATCTAATCTGAGATCGCACTGCAATATGACTACCCACCAAATCACCCCAACCCAACCCGAGGCCACCGATGGGATTGTAAATTTCCGGCCCGGCGGGGGGGGCACCTCAGAACACTGAGGACACACAATGGAACGCGTACGCCCCCCAACCCGACATTTGGGAGGGTCTGAGACCTTCGGGTTGGGTTGGGGTGGCTGGGTAAGTAGTGACAACCGAAGCGCACATCGACTTGTAAATCCAATTCCAATCGACATGCGCGACCAGCAATGCGAGATCAATCAACATGCAGCCGGGAGGCCGCACGGGATCGGAACGTGCGTCGGATGAGCCTCGCTGGCACGAAGTTCACATCTGGGATCAACCGCGCCAAAATGCACAACAACGCCGCGCAAGCACCGGGCCGCATCGGCCGGCATGAAGCACACGGGCCCCGAGGGCAACGAGTCGTGGACCAAGGGGGGTTTCCCCCAAGACCAGTTCTTAGGAGGCCTCCGAGCGCCCAAAACTGGCGGCGGCGAGCGGAAACCCCAAGGAATAGGTGCGGCATCTTTTCCTCTCGAGCCTGCGAGGGCTACGCGCATCACAAATGTAGAATGTCGATGTTCCCTCTGAGGGCGCGATGATGTCCTGCGCTCCTCCTCGGCCGTGGCTGGGCCCAGCCTCGCCCGTCAAAACCCCTCGCGCACTTCACTCGACATCCACCGCGCTGCGAACTGCGGCAGGCGCCCCTGCGGCTGGCTCTGCACGGCGGGAAGCCTAAGACATTTCTTCCTTTCACGGCTTCACGCTGCACGGCTCCTGGCTCGGCTGCGCGCTGCAAGCGGCATCAATCGCTGGGACGAACACCCAGCACAAGTATGCTTTTTGCATACTGCACCACTGAAGCGATGGCGCATGGCACTGCTGCCACCACACCCCATCGTGGTTTCGATGACTGGCTGCCCTGCCCTGATGATCCCCTCGCAGGCTGCGGGGTCATCAGCATCCCCCTGACCAGCTCGTGGTGTCGGGTGGGATCCAGAACCTTCGTCATGAGATTCGCCGCGTTCTCGCCCGTCGGGGCCTGCTTGACTCGCGCCTCGCCGCTCACCACCTTCTCCTGCAGTCACAGGCACTTCATATCCAGGTGCCTGATGCGACCGCCACCGAGCCTCGAGCAAATCCAAATTGTCGCCGCGCTGTCGCCAGCCACCGCCACCATCATCTCAAACATCATATCCTTGAACAGGTTCTTCGTGAAGATACCCCTGGCCGCTCCGCTCGTCATCTCCACGCACTCGGCTTCCCCGCTGCTCAGCGCCCTCGACGCCCGCCGCCCCGCCCAGCTGCCGACGCACGCATTGCCCGCGCACTCGAAACCCCCACCGCGGATTCGCCTCGCCACTTCGTGTCCAGCCCAGTCGGAGTCGGCCGCGATCGCGATATCCTTCGGCGTCTCCTGCTACTCGACATGCCAAAGCACATGCGGGCACGTCACCAGATGCGTGGCCAGCTGCTTGAGCGCCAGCCCGTGGATCCCCATCGGTTCCTGCACGCCTCGCATGATCCAGCTCGTCGCGAACTAGATGCCAGACCTGTCCGCGGCCAGATTGAGCGCCGTCGGCACCGCAGACTGGAACGCCCTCTTCTCGTTGTAGCTCAGGATGTCCTGCGCCGTCAGCACTTCCTTCCCGATGTTATTCGAGGCTGGCGAGATCTCTCTCCGCCAGCTTCCGATGCGCCTCCGCCACATTGGCCGCGCGCGTCGCGTCGCTCTCCCAATGGAGGCCTTCCTCCGTCCAGCTCACCGCCCGCTTCAGGAACTTGCCACACTTCGCCTCTCCCCCAGCCTCCGAAGGCCCGATGATCGGAGGCTTCCCCACTTCGAACTTCTCCACCATGACCTCCTTGAGCCGCTGCAGGTTGACGCGGGCGGACACTGCCATGAACTCGTCGCCACGCACCGCTACGTGGAGGCCCTTCTCAAGGTGGAAGAAAACTATGAACGTCACCTGCAGCCTGATAAAGCCCTCGGCGATCAGAGCTCCGATGACCATGCGTTGGAACAGCTTGCTCGCGCGCCTCGTGCCATACATCGCCTTCGCCAGCTGCCGCGCCACGTTCGGCTCGCCCTCGCCGGCAGACGGCGCCACGTAGACGCCCTCGCCCATCGTGGCGCGGGAGAAGGCGCCGCTAATGTCCCGGAGGCCGATCGGGCAGACCTCCCGGTTGCGCCCGAGCCCAGCTACTATCGCGAGCGCGAGCCCCGCGAACTTCAGGGGCGGGGCGCTTGCGAACGCGTCGTCGCGCACCTGGCACGCAATCTGCGCGGCCACGAACCTGCACCTCGCGGCGTCCGCCCCCGTCTTCCAGCCCTGGGGCCACTTGCCTCGCACGCGCTTGCCGCTGGCCTCGCGGGCGTGGACTCGCTCGGACACGCGCCCGCCATCATCTCTGCTCGCCCCCGAGCACGTCTTCGCTCTGCCTGCGGGCAGCAACTGCCCCGACAACGCCCCCGCGATGTTAGTCAGGCCCTTCTTCGTCGACGGGTTCGGCTGCGCACTCGCTCAGGTCCGCAACGCAGAGCGCGAGGGGGGTGGTCTGACTTGGGAGGGGGTCTGATCTGAGCTGTTTTGGAAGGTTTTGGGGGGTCTAGGCCAGAGGCTGCCTGCTCATG